GGGGGGGGGGGGGGGGGGGGGGGGGGGGGGGGGGGGGGGGGGGGGGTCGGGGGGGGGGGGGGGGGCCCCCGAACGTTTCCCTTGGGGGGGGGGGGGGGCGGCCCCCCCCCCCCCCCCCGAGCTCGAGCCCGCCCCGGCCAGGCCCGCCCGCTGCCCCAGCCCAGCCCAGCGCCCCCAATACCCGGCCTGGCCCGTGGCGAGATGCGGATGGCCCGGACAGGCCTCGCTTGGGGTCTTGGCGGGCGAGCTCCGGCCGACCCCGCGGCACTTTCCCCCCGGCCCCAGAAGCTCCGTCCTGTAATCGTCTGGAGGCTCTCTCGTCCAGGTCCTTCAGCAGTTCCCTTCTCGGGCATCTTTAACAGATGAACCAAGTTGGAAGAGACCTTGGAGGTCACCTAGTCCAACCTCCCGCTCAAACAGGAGATCCTACTCCCACAACTTCTCAAGGCAACTTCTGTTCCGTTGGTTGATTGTTCTCACTGTCAGAAAATTCCTCCTCATTTCCAGGTTGAATCTCTCCTTGGTCAGTTTCCATCCATTGTTCCTTGTGTGGCCTTCGGGAGCTTTGGAGAATAGCTTGACTCCCTCCTCTCTGGGGCAGCCCCTCAAATATTGGAAGATGCTCTCATGTCTCCCCTGGTCTTTCTCTTAACTAGACCAGCATGCCCAGTTCCTGTTCTTCGTATGTTTAAGCCTCCAGTCCCCAAATCATCCTGGTTGCCCTTCTCTGCACTTTTTCTAGAGTCTCAACATCTTTTTTATAGTGCGGGGACCAAAATTGGATGCAGTATTCTAGGTGTGGTCATACTAAGGCTTTACACAGTGGTATTAGTACCTCTCTTGATTGTATCTCTCTGTTAAGGCAATTTAGGATTTCATTGGTTTTATTGGCTGCCGCTACACACAGCTGGCTCCTATTTAACTGGTTGTCCACTAAGACTCCAAGATCCCTCTCACAGTTCCTGCTATTAAGCCTGGTTTCATCCAGTCTATATGTGCACTTCTGTTTTTTCTTGTCACTTTTCTCTATTTCATTTTGTTACGTAGGGCCCAGTGTTCAGTCTAACAAAATGAAATTCAATGTAGAGAAAAGTAAAATGTCACCCTTAGGTAAGAAAAATGCTGGCTCATATTTAACTGGTTGTCCACTAAGACTCAAAGATCCTTTTCACAGTCACTGCTTTTAAGCCTGCCAGTCAGCCTGGTTTCACTCAGCTGAGTGCTGCTAAAACCTCATGGGAAGTAGTCACCATAAGGTAACCAGCCATAATGTATGTGTGTAAATGGGAAATTGAGGACAGAGCCGCATTTGATATCAGAAGAGGAATCTCTTAAAAGTCAGGGAAGGTCTGGGGGAAAAAACTTACAAAGGAAATGTTCAATCTCACCATCAATTTGGGAATAGGCAGGTCAGGTAGAAAATATAGTACAGATCAAGAAAATTATCCAAGAATTGGCCACGACAATCAAGGCCCTACAGTACAGAAATATGAAGGGAACTTCCTCAGAAAACAGAAAGCTTGCCCACTGGGGTGGGAATGCGGAGAAGATTACCGTAAAATTATGAAGCAAAAATGCATATCACTAATTGTGACCACCCACAAAGCTCTTTTAAAAAAACATCAAAAGGCTTCTGTAGAAGTCGAATGATTCCCACAGACTATTCAGAATTTCTCTGCACACCAGGAAGCCCTGGACCAGAACCCCAATCAAAGACTCAAGAAGTTAAAAGGGTAGCAGAGATTAGATTTGTGTAGGCAGTTCAGGCCCCTAATAGGGACATTCCTAAAGTCACCCCTTGCAACTTTCTCCTAAATTACAACTGAGTAGTAAGGTGCCTATGTTTGCTGACAAAATAACATTAGTTGGATGACCTTAAAAGGGGGGAATGAGAAAGCAAAGAATAGAGAAGAGAAACAGAGCAGAATAGAATGCTTTATTTGACCCAAGTGTCATTAGACACAAGGAATTTGTCTCCAGTACAGAAGAATGCCTCAATGTACATGCAAAGCAATGCCGTAGTAGTAATAATAATACCAATAAGAAGATAAGGTAATAATAATGCTACAGCCATACAACATGGGTAAATATACTTAGACATAAGACACTGTGTGAGAATTAGCTGTTCAGAGTGATGTCATGAGAGAAAAAACTGTCCCTGGGTCTAGTTATTTTGGCATGCAATGTCCTATAGCAGCGGACACCAACTGGTGGCCCATGGACCACTGGTGGTCCGTGAGAAAATTTTGGTGGTCCTCAGAAAAAATATTTGCATGTTTATATTACACTAAATACTATTTATCTTTTTAAAAATCATATTAGTGGTCCATGGGATTTAAAATTATGAATTTAGTGGTCCTTGAGGTCCGAAAGGCTGGTGATCCTGCCCTAGGGCACCGTCCTGAGGGGAGGAGTGGAAATATTTATGCCCAGGATGTGAAGGGTCTAAAGGAACAAATGTAAAGGGGAATTAGATATATATAGCCAAAAGAAAAGTAAGTTTGAGGACATGATAACTGCCTTCCAGTTGTTGAGGGGCTGTCATAGAGCAGAGGGGGTTGAGTTACAGAGCACCAGAGGGTAGGACAAGAAGTAACAGATGGAGATCCAACCTAGAAGTAAAGAGAAATTTTCTCTCGGTGAGAACAAATAACCAATGGAAGAGTTTGCCTTTTGGAGTTTTGGGGGCTCCTTCACTGGAGTTTTCCAAAAATAGACTGGACAATCATTTGACCATGATGGTATAAGGTGTCCTACCTTGGGCCCTGTGGGACAAACGCCATTGACAACACTCAGGGAGCATCCTTTGTGGTAAAGAGAGCAACAATGCATAAAAGGTGCTCTTATTTGCATCTCCAAGAGGTTCAGTCCAATAGATTTGACATCCATTTGTGAATTGTGAAAGGCCAGGTAAAAAGTATCAGCAACAGGGGAGAAGTTAGGAGATAGATTTACCTTTGAGACAATGGAAATCTTAGCATGGGGTGAACACGGAAGGTTCACCCCAAGGTTGCAGAAGACCTTTTAAAGGAATGCCTTGGAAGGACATTGAAAACCCACAAGGAGAATATCCGCATTTGCCACAGGTAAAAGTGAGGATGGGGCTGGGCTCTGTAGCCTGAAGAGGCCACCTGACTCCCGATTGCAATGGGGCAGACTCAAGATTCGACTGTACAAGAGGCTCCACAAGTAGGACGTCCCGAGGCTTGGCTGCCCTGGCAGAGCTGTCCAACTCATTGACCAGCTAATCAGGGGCAACTCACTAAACTCCAGATGGAGAATGGAAGCTGCAATGCCATCTGTACCACCCAAGAAGTATCTGGCAACCCCTGAAATCTGCCAAGGACTTTGAAGAGCTCCAGGTCCTCACTTCACTTCCCTTGAGACCATGATTCACTCACAACTCAAATTCAAGCAGCCCTTTGATGTTTCACACACAGCCCTAATGCATTTATGCCTCTTTGTGGGGTCTTCCAGAGCTCCTTGTTCTCATGTTACTTTTTCAACTGGAGCAATTTCTCTCCCTTTTAAATATGATAGTGTTGATCCGATGCATCTTTAATTGACTGGAGTCTTGTGTTGTTGTTGTTTGTTATTTGTTAGTTTTGTATGCTGCCCACTCCCGAAGGACTCCAGGCGGCTCACAATAAACAGGGAAAGGGAAATAAATAACAAATCCATGTGGATCAATGCAATCAATTGCTTCTCGTTGATTTATACACCTTAGGAAACATGAGCAATAAATCAATAGCAGTTTGTCTGGCGTGGTTGTGAACTCCACTTGTTTTGCACGGTGCTTACTTCAACTCACTTCCTAGAGCAAAGCTATTGACACAGAATGCACCCAATTCAACAATGTGACTATGTTGGCTGTTAGACCAAGCAGAATGCAATGAAATTAAAAATGCTTGAAACTAAAGCAGACTACTAATTTCAAATAATAATTCCACCAAGAATTAGAAAGGTTTAGAAATAGAATTGATAATGAATGTTGCTATGCTTCAGTTTTAATTTTGTTCAGAAGAGAGGAATAATTAGTTTTCATTCAATGGTACCTGTCTTTCATAAAATAATTTCTAATTATTCAAGTCCACCTGATTTGCAATGGTCCACTCAGATTAACCACATCTTTGGCTGGTCTACATTTACTTCCTGGAGCCAGGGTTTCCGATGATTTCCAAAAGGGTCAATTGTGGGAGATAGAAGTGCAGGTAGCTACCCATTGAGACAT